TATTTCAGTTCTTGTCATCCAGAGCAGCTCAGCTTCATATAACTCTGTACCAGGGGTGGGGGCCCTTCCCCTGCCTCCAGTTGATGAATTCCTATCCAGAGCTTGCCCCACCATTGTCCAGGATCATTAGAGTTGATGAGAACTGGAATTTTATCACCATCTGTCTATCTGATTCGTAAAGTCTATCTGATTTTAATAAATGCCCAAAAAAGTCCCTTATCATAAAAAGAAAAGAGGTGACTGTTTGTATTGGTATAATTATTATAAGGCATGAAAAAACATTTAGAACATTTTTTCAAATGCATTGCTTTTTACCATTTCATTAGAAATACTTGAATCTTGAGTAGTGGTTTCCAGCCTTGGGTAACCCAGGTCTTTCTTGGACTACAATTCCCAGAAGCCTTCACTATTAGCTGTTCCAGGGTTTTGGGAAGTTCCAAGAACACCTGGGTTATCCAAGGTTGGGAACTACTGGTCTAAGGAGGAGTGCACCAGCGTTTATCCTCAGTCATAGGATTTTGGCTTGCATTCACCATATGGCCATCGTCTCCCACTTCCCCATTCATCTCTGCTTTTTAAAAAGAAGATCTCTCTGAAAGAGTTGTTGAAATGCATATTTTTAAACCAGGGATGGGCACATGTTAGGCTTGTAGGACCAATTCTGCTTTTACCAGAATCCTGAAGTTTCCCAATCAGGTGCAGGTGTAAGCAGTGATAGAATAAAATCATTTCAAGCCCAGAAATTTGTTTTGAGTACTAGGACCAGGTGGAATTCAGGTGTTCCAGGTTACCCCACACTTTCTTTGTTTCAGCTTGGTTGCAGGGGTGGGATGATGGGAAAGAATCAATGTGCTGATTCTCTTGTTTAACAATTATCCTACCTTGAATCAGCTGGAGATCTGCCGGGAGATAGAAATTTCCCTTCTGCCCAAAACAATTAATATATTATTTCTCAAAATGATTTTTTTAAATTCATTTTTTCCAGAAATGTATATTTGTAAATTTAAATATATTCTCTCAAAATCTACATCTTAGTCTCCCTTTCCCCTCCCCTTTTTCTCAAACCATGTAAGAGTAAATGAAAACTATAAAATCAGAGCTTGGAATATTAGTTTTAGAAAATCAAAGCTGTGATTCATTTCATTCACTCTTTGAATATATCATATGCCTCAAAAATCTGCTTGGGTCACTGTAAGGTAGAAGTGAAATGACACTATTTGGCTCTGGAAGAGGAGTATAACTGCCCCTCATCCATTGTCACAGTCTCTGAACATGCGCAGAAGATTTTCTCCCTTTGATACAAAATTCCTTTCACATTCGCTGAGTCTTCCCCTTGAGTAAAAGGACATGGGATGCATTGCAGCCTAAAAAAGTAAGAGACTGTGAGAAGAACTGCCCTGTTGAGTGAAATGAACAGAAAAACTCCTGTAGGAGCATAAACGAATTGGTCACTCTCCAATTTTAAATCTCTGAGGTCCTGAAAATGTCAGTCATTGTAACTGATGCAATAAACTAGCTAGTAACAAGTCCAAGTTTGTTGATGATATGTCCAGAAATCTAACCTGTAGATTGCAAGAAAACTGGGATTTTTTGTTATGCAAAAAATGTTCCTCTCATTATCCATTAGCCATGATATTTCAACTAATGATGTTTCCAAGCTTTGCAGTGGATAGGTGAGAGCCAGTCTGCACGTTGATTCAAGTTCTGGTTGATCTGTATCATAATTCACAAACCTTCATATTCCTCAAGCATCCTCAAGTAGGGGTGCTTCATTTCAGTCCCTGCTCCCAACAGCACTTTTTGAATGAAAGACTCATTAATTTGAGCTGGACACAAATACCTTATGGTCACTTTACAGCTCAGTTAGTGAGGCTGGAGTTTGTCCAATGGAAGGAATAGACGGGTAAAGATCCATCATGGTAGCCTATCTGTCACTCATTCCTGGTTAGGCACAGGATTCTCAATCGACTCCTATTGAACAAGAAGAGCGATGCAAGTCTCTATAGACCTGCATTGCATTAACAAGAGTCATGCCATTACTTTAAAACAGAACTGAGAATCTAGACTCAGCTCTCTGATGAAAATTAAAATCCTATCCATTAATCAAAACCCTTTGTGTTTAGCACTTTTTAATCAGAGAGTTTAAGGCACACCCATCTCAAATGTAAACAAAATCTACTGAGGGGAAAAAAAGCTTTTCATTTAACATTTTGTGTGCAGTCGACACCATGTTCACTTAAGCTCCAGAATGCTGAGAAATAGTATCCATTAAAGACCACACAACCTAAAGGGAGAGGGTGATCTCAAGAGATCAGAGGGCCATGCATGCCCATCCCTGGACCTTGGAGAACATATCCGTTTCTGTGCTCCCAGCACCCAAAATGATTTGCTTACAAAAATGGGGGAGGGGAGGCTTTACTGAAAAAGATCCCCCTATATTCTATAGGAGCCAAAATCAAATCTACTTTTTTTCAGATTTTAGGAATTTGGGGTGTAGTGACCCCTCAAAACGTGGTCAAATTGTCCCATTTTAAAGGAGCACAAATTAAAACTTTTTGAGCAAAAAAAAAAAAAAGCTTCAAAAATGTTCTAAAACTTTGGAGAGGTACAGAAGGAACATATTTGGACCCCCAAGGAAGCTATATGTAGTCCAGGGTGGTATGCTGCTGACGTCTACTCTGAACAGGCACTTTATTTAGGCAATATGGATATGGCATAGTATTATATGCTGTAGATGTTCCAGTTTCATCAGCACTTTGGAGGTGAATGGATGTCAGTGGCAGGGTGGTCGACCCAAATCTTAGTTTGGTTTATTCACTAGAGTGGACACCATCTGTTAAGTGACAAATGAAGTTACCCTTCCATGTTTCAAGTCTTCAGCAGAGTACTTGTGAGATTTTACAATATGCTACACTATTTATGTTCCCTCTTGATATCACTAGTTAATATTATAATTTGCATTTCCTTCTTTTAAAAGTTTCCCTTTTCTATTTAGATATTTCCAAAGTAGCAACTCTATTACCCTGTTTCCGTATGTACAATAGAAACAAAACAAAGCAATGTTAAGATTAACATGTTTATTTTAATGTGGGCTTTCATGGATTACAATTAGGCATCTGCGGTGTTTTCAGACAAACGCATAGCTACAAACTGAATCCAGGCATATTTGTATATTTCCAGAGTTACCCCAGGGCAAAGTAAAGAGCAACACCCCCACAGATGCTAATTGAATCCAGCATTTGCACATTGCATTTAGAAATACAGAAGGAGGAAGAGAAACTAGGGAAGACAGAAAGTATGCTGTTAGCTTAGAAATGAACCTCTTTGGCTTTCCCATTGTGAAAGTATTGATTAAATCATCAAAGGGCTTGTAGCCAGAACACAACTTATTTCAGATCTCGGAGACCTGAAGTGCAAGGGCAGAGAGAAAGGATAGAAGGTGTAGCAGAAGTCATTTCCCCCCCCCCTTAATTGCACTTTTTAAAAGGGATCAAAGCTAACTATGCTCATTGCCCTTTTAAAGTCTCTCGCTCACTCCCTGGTGACTGACATGAGAAGCCAACTGAGAGTTTCTCTTGATGGGTGAGGGGAAAAATCAATATAGCATTGTTTATATACACAATACATGTGGTTGAGGGAGTGGGGACAGAGAGAAATGGGATACAAAAATGTCAGTTGCACTGTTAACACTGTTGATGCACCTCCAAAGGCTGACTCTATAGACAACCTGACCATCAATAGAGAAATGAGCAGATGCTAAATATCTGCAAGCTACTGTTAGACTTTTGTTGTTGAAGAGCTGAGTTTTACTCTCACAAGTTAGTAAATTGTTCTGAGGCCAGAGTACGTGCAAAACAATAAGGAAACAGTGTTGTGAAAACCAGCTTATTAATCTACATAGTGTGTTCTCTCCATAGTATTGTCAAGGAGCTGACAAGCCAGGAAGGAGTGAAAAGCTGTACTTCAGCCAAATCAGTTGTGCATATTTTAATCTGGATCTAACACATTTTGCTGTGCTGTGCAAACAGAACTGCTTACGGGTAGATGGACACTATAACAACAGTACAAGCTTCAGAGGACATCTTAGGAAAGTTCCCCTTCTTTGACTGTAGCTCCTAGGGTCCTCCTGCCACTAAGGTTCATTGTCCAAAAAAAGACATCTTGACATTCTGCTTTCCAGTTCTAGAACTTGGCACTCCATAAAAATAAAAGTCATAATAAATACATGCCATCATGTCAATTCTGACTTACGGTGGCCCTTTCCAGATTTTCTTGATAGAGAGTATTCAGATGTAATTTACTATGCCCTTCTTCTTGGGGCATCCTGGGACTGTGCAGCTTGCCCAAGGCTGCACAGGATGATTCTTCTCCCTGGAGGCACAACGGGGAATCAAACTCCCAGCCTCTGGCTGCACAACCGGATACCTAAACCACTGAGCTATCCAGACAGCTTCTACATACACTTAAATCAAAATGCAGATGCTTCTATTTTCTTTTCTTTGTATTTAGTGAAACTATTTCTGTCCTTCCTTTTGAGCCGCAAGGATCCACATGGTGAGTAGCAACAAAATAAAAACATAATGCATAATTAAGCAGCAATAAAACAAGTCAACACATAAAAAGGTTGCAACTCAGCAGCAAAGAACCAGCAGCGTTATTCAGCAGAGTAACTACTTAGCTATCGGTCGCTGCCAATGTTCACTGGAAAAAACCCATGTCACATTGTCTTTCTTGTTACGCACATGCTACATAAATCTATCCGAAAGGGCAGTCTACCATTACAGGGTCAGTTTTTCCAATGTGTTTGGTTTGCATACCCACATCAAAGTTTAAATGAACTCATTCCTTCTTTAAAGAAACTTAGCAAATGGTCTTTTCTTTTGGAAGAGAGGAAAAGCCGAAGGGCAGCCATTCACAGCATCTGGGAGAAGCATGCCTTCAGTATATATTATGGTGCATTGGGAGTTTTCATACATTCACTTTGTTTTTCCTAATTTCAGCATGTGGCAAATTGATGAAAATCACTGGTCCCATTACAGTCAAGACATCTGGAACCCGGTTTGGCGCTTGGATGACAGATCCATTAGCACTGGAGAAAAATAACAGAGTATGTGGCATTTATCATTTCTTGCTGGGAGCCAAGCAGGGATTCTTTCCCTTGGTCAACGAATACTGACGTTCTAAATAGAATGAGGAGCAATGCAAAAATGTTTTAAACAAGCAAACAAATAGAGTTTACCTTATAGGGAATCAGAACTTTAGTCCATCATTTTTGCTCCAGGATTTCTCAACCTTTTCTAACCCATAGTTCCTATTGATAAACATAAATAACATTTGTAAATATAGGAAGACAAACTCTTTTTTCTTATTTCTTACATTAAGTAGTAGAATCCATCAGAGATAAGGAAAGAAGAAGTGCACTACTGTATGTTATACAGTATGTTGTATAGTAGTGCAGTGAGTGTTTTTTGGCTAATAAATACGATTCCTTTCTCCCTTTTCCTAAGGGAGAAAAGTATGGTGTTGCAAATATTTTTTCAGTAAATACTACATATGAAATCCTGATCCATGCCTCCAGTGGAGAGGAGGGGTCCCAGTGGTTGAGAATTTGAGGAGTACTGAAGGCAGGACACTTTCCAAGTCCATGCTACCTGAAATTGTTCTAGGACAAGAGAACAACTGAGTCTTTTATAGGTAAAATATACAGAATGGATGGGGGGGTTGATCTGTATTGCAATTCCCAGAATCTCCCAGCTGATAGCTATCTGAAACTGTAGCAATTAAAAACAAAAAACAAACAAACAAAAACCTTCCAACTCTGTATGTGCTCTACAATCAACCAATAAATTGCCCCTCTCCAGTACAACCTGACTGCTAGGCAGAAGTGGTGAGGTCTGTTCCAAGATCTTGTTGGGAACATTAGTTTAGTTCTTTAAATCTATCATGTGCTATGTGAAGTCCATTTCAAGTCCAAAATGACTGTGCAAAGCAGGCAAGCTGAAACAAAGATCTAGCATGAGGAGGATAAGTGGAGATGACGGGCAATTTTGGTTTGCTCAGCAGGGGCACCAACACATCATTCAAAATGTTGCAGCGCACCTTTATTTCCTAGCAGGCATGCTCATATTCAGGACTCCTGAAAGCTGTAAACCGTGCCTTTCTCCAGGATGTGATAATAACAGAATAAGGGTTATTATCAGAAGCTGGTTTTTGATTCCGCAGGAGTATTTGTCAAGCTGAGTACTACAGAGGAGGGAGTGGTGCAGAAGAAACATGAAAGTTCCAAAACCCATAGCCAGATGTGCCAGCCAGGTTTCCTTCTTTAAAGCACTTTCCAAAGTGGAGGCTAGAGAATGAGCTCAGAGATGTAGATTTCAGATTTCACCCCCTGCAGTGTGGATTAGAATGTCCCTCCCAAACTTGTCAGGCAAAGGGCTGCCAGGAAGGCAACATCCCCTTGCATTGCCTTATATCAAAATGTTGTTGTTTAGTCATTTAGTCATGTCCGACTCTTTGTGACCCCGTGGACCAGAGCATGCGAGACCCTCCTATTTTCCACTGCCTCCCCGAGCGTGGTCAAATTCATGTTGGTTGCTTCGGTGACACTGTCCAAATATATCAAAATACAGTGGTGTCTCGCTTAACGGGCGCCCCGTTTAACCATGAAATTGCATAGCGATTAACTTTCTGCGATCGCTTTGCGATGTTTTAAATAGGGAAAAATCGCTTTGTGATGATCGGTACCCTGTTTCGCTTACCGATCATCGCATAGCGATGATTTTTTAACAGCTGATCGGCGGTTCCAAAGTGGCCACCGGGTAAAAAAAATGGCCGCCCGCTTTTTTCTGTGATGGATTCCTCACTTACTGGGCAGTGAAAATGGCCACTGTGTGGAGGATTTTTACTTTAAGGTGAGTTTTAAGCCTATAGGAACGCATTGAAGGGGTTTCAATGCATTCCTATGGGCTTTTTAATATCGCATAGCGACGAAATCGCTTTGCAGTGATTTTCGCTGCACGGATTATCATTACTATGCGAGGCACCACTGTACATGATTCCTTTTTGGGAACAGAGACACACAGAAATGTGACAAACTCCGTATCAAAGAAATTGGGATCAAAATTAGTTTATACATTTGTTGGGTAAGTCAGTTACACATTGTATTTCTGTTTCCTCTGTGCCGTTCACAGTTCTGTAATACTCAGCCTGATGAAGACTCTTCTGAGCAAAACCTGGTAACATTTTGCTAGCCTTTTTGCAGGATTTCTACCTTTGCTGACATCCAGAGGAAGGGACAAATGTATTTAAAATAGTAGATGGATCTGGAAATCATTCTACATCAGAAATTCACAAGTTCACAGTTTGTTCTTTTTCTTCTTTGTTCTTTTTCCCTTCAGGTCTGGTACATGGACAGTTACACCAACAACAAAATTGTCCGCGAGTACAAATCAGTTGCAGACTTTGTCAGTGGTGCAGAGTCAAGGACATACAATCTCCCCTTCAAATGGGCAGGAACCAACCATGTGGTCTACAATGGCTCTCTCTATTTCAACAAATACCAGAGCAACATCATCATCAAGTACAGCTTTGATACCGGACGGGTGCTTGCTCAACGCAGCCTGGAATATGCAGGCTTCCACAATGTCTACCCATACACCTGGGGTGGCTTCTCAGATATTGACCTGATGGCAGACGAAATTGGCTTGTGGGCCGTCTATGCTACTAACCAGAATGCAGGCAACATTGTCATCAGTCAGCTGAACCCGGATACCTTAGAAGTGATGAAAAGCTGGAATACAGGATATCCAAAGAGAAGTGCTGGGGAATCCTTCATGATTTGTGGCACCTTGTACGTCACCAATTCTCACCTAACTGGTGCCAAGGTCTACTACTCCTATTCCACAAAAACCTCCACCTATGAATACACAGACATACCCTTTCATAATCAATACTTCCATATATCCATGCTTGACTATAATGCCCGAGATAGAGCTCTGTATGCCTGGAATAATGGACACCAAGTCCTTTTCAACGTCACTCTTTTCCACATAATTAAGACAGAGGATGACACATAAATCTCAAACTCGTGTTGATTCTGGCCACCCAAAAGCAGTGTCATTTGTGCTGAACTCAAAAGCATCCTGCTGGATTTCTTTTTTTTTTAAAGTTCCTTTTTTCAGTAAGAATTAAGAAGGGGGTAAGCTTTTTCTACAGTATCATGTATTCCAAACATGGTGGAGCCTTTGTTTAAAATGACCTGGTTGGCATTACAGGTGTATTTCTTAACTCTACACAAGGCCTGCTGTGACTTTGTCATGGTAAGCACTAAAGTTGATTTCAGTGGCTAAAGACATTGTTTAAAAAATTTAAAACAAGATTAATGATCTGCCTTACATTAGAGTCAGAGACTAATGGTGGCTTAATTGCATGAATGTCTTTTTCTACCATACATCATTTTTCTAAAAAACAAAAAAACTGGGGGGAAAAAACCAGAAATCTGACTGTTGGCTCAATATGAAAGTATATTTGGACAGTAATCTGGAACAGGATGAGCATCAGTATTCTTTTGTTTTTGTTTATAAAAAACACTGTTCCAAAGTCAAATCGTAAAGAGTTTGGTTTCCTAACAGAACAAGGGAAATCCCATTGGCTGTTACACCATCCGAGATGCAGTGCTGTACAGTCTGTTTTTAAACCTCTTGCAAGCAGTTTCTCAATGATATGTATTTATACCATTGTATCCACCATTGTGCAATTGTATCTCTTCACTTCTGTGAAAGTCAACTATTTTTTATAAAATATAATTGAAGTTTCATCTCGAAGGTTCAATTATGGATCCATCTTGCAAGAACACGTATATGAAAAGTCTGAAATCTCCCTAGCTTTGACTTTTACCTTGTGTAGTTTGATCAATTTGTGTCATTTACAGCCTTTAACATCCTCTCATGCCAAGCCTATCTCTAATGGTATTTAATATAACTACTAGCCCAAATCAAACTTAGAAGGAGGAGGGGGTTAATAACAATTCTAGTTTCAAAAACGTCATTCCCTTATTTTTTTTTCACCAGCTGAATTCCTGCCATCAAATACTGTGAAAAGAAGACACTCAACTAGAAGTTCCTTTAAAGGTAGAGTTAGGCTTCACAACTCTGCCTTGAGGGTCCAGTCTTAGAAGGATGCTAGATATGCTTGGTGCCCCCCAAAAAGCCCTTCTAAGTTTTGCTTCTCTGTGGGTTCAGTGTCACATTTAAGACATCTATACTACCATGTCCAAAAAGACTTTCTGGCATGCAAAAGCCTTTATATAGAGGAAGACCTAATAAAGCTGACATCAGCCCTGGTAGGCCTTTGACTTGTGGTGGGTATACAACAAGCCTTTGACTTGTGGTGAGTCTACATGGTTGGCTGCATTCCAGCTGTGGGAGGGATAATATAGCTCGGTTTAAGTTTGAAGCCCAAAGCACAGGAAGAGTGGCAACATTGCACTGATCGTGGGGCCCTGAGTTATTAGGATGAAAATATGAATACCCAGCACACATGTCTGGTTTCCTGGTCCACCTGTAGTTTAGGTGTAACAAGGAAGTAAACACAAGAACATGAGATAGTGAGTTTGTTCCCATCATGAAATGACCATTAGTTTTGCATTTTCTCTACTATGGATGGGGGAGAAATTAGGTCAGTTTGCATTTGGATGCAAACCCATTCTAATTCTCACTTCTGAGACCAATGCGTAAACCCAAAGACTGCTATTCTTTTGCACTTGTATTTCTCCAAATTTCCAAATTAAAGTACTTGCACAAATGCACATAGGTGGATGAAGTATGACATACAAAACTATATTATGCTAGAGAAAAATGTTCACTAGAAAATGACTCGGGTTTGGTTGTCCTAAAAGTGTGATGGGTGGACTCTACTTATCTGGGCATATCATGAAATTAAGACTTATCTGGCCCTTCCTGAAATTAAACCTTGCACAGAAGTAAGAACTTCAACAGCCGGGTTTATTTTTGTATTTTGCAGCCAATGCTAAGCTAATTGAGCACTAGTGTAGTATAGTGTATAGTGTACAAGATAAGGATTCAGGAAACCTGGGTTCAAATCCATGCTCAGCCATGGAAATTCACTGGGGGAGGCCATGGTAAACTATTCCTTGAATGTCTCGCATACCTCTAAAACTTCTTAGGATCACAATAAACCAGAAATTACTTGATAGTAAATATGAACAAAACAGGGTTGATTTGGAATCTTAATCTCTTTAAAAGAAGAGCATGCTATCCTTGTTATCATACTGTGGCACCAGTCCCAGCTGCCATAATAATGTCTCTCCATCTTTCTCCTTGCATATGCACAGCCAGTGGTTGTTGCATAACACGAATCTTATTGTGTTGGTTTTGGGGTGTTTTGCTTTTATTTTTATTTTCCTTCACCAACTTGATATATGGTTCCCTGCATTTTACCTCAGTTCAGTAATAACCCTTGCTGTGTCACATGACTGGAATACAGCAACTGAAGAATATAAATTCTTCAAAAAGAACAGAAAAATATAGAAAGGGGTGTAGTCTCAGTACATGTCAAAAATACATACTCCTGCACAGAAATACAGAAGGGTGAGTTTGGTTGTCCCATCGAGAGCATCTGAATTAATATAATAGGGGCAAAAAAACCAAGAGGAACATGGTAATTCATGTCTACTACTGATTTCCCAATCAAGAAGCAAATGCTGATGAAACCTCTGAAATTCTTGCAATTTGTTTTTCAGACAGATACAATGTAATAGTAATTGGAGATTTCAATTACCCTGATATCTGTTGTGAGGCAAATTCTGCCGAATATGGCCTTTCCAAGAAATTCCTGGTTTGGCTGATAATTTTCTCCTGCAAAATGTAGGAGAAAAAAATAGAGGGGGAAACTAGAGAAGTAGCTGTCCTTGGCTTGACTCTAACCAGTAGACTTGATAGAAGAAGTAGCAGTAAGGAGAACTCTGGAGGAAAGTGACTGTGTTCTGCATGAGTTCTTTATTTCAAATGAAATGAAAGCAGGGTGTACGCACACAGGTACACCGGATTTTAGGAAGGACCGTTTTAATAAACTCAAAATAATGCTATGTAAAGTCTCATGACAGGAGATTGTAACAGGAAAAGGAGTCCAAGATCAGTAGGAGTTTCTTTAAAAGGACATTCTAAAAGCAGAACAACAACAAATTTCAACCAGAAAAAAGGTGGAAGACAGCAAAAAATGCCAATGTGAATTCACAAAAAAATGAGGGAGGACATGAATATAAAAAGGACACATGTAGGAAGTGGAAGGTAGGTCAGACCACAAAGGAAAAGTACAATCAATTGATGGAGTTATGAAGGCAAAAGCTAAGAATGAGCTGAGCTTAGCAAGAAATGCTAAAAGCAACCAAAAAAAGCATTCTTCAAGTATGTGCATAGCATGTCAGAGAAAAGAAATAGTGGCTCAGTTACTCAGTGTGGATGGCAAAATCATAACAGGCAACAAAGAAAAGGCAGAAGTGTTTGATTCCTTCTTTAGCTCAGTCTTTTCCCAGAAGACATTCTATGACCCTCCAGGCAAATATGGAGGGACAGGATTGCAGCTGGAGATTGATAAACAAATAGTCAAGCAATGATTTCTTACTTTGAATGAGTTCAAATCCCCAGGCCTGATGAAATGCATCCAAGAGCATTGAAGGAAATGCTATCTATTATTTTCTTGAAATCATTGAGAATGGATGAAGTGTCAGATGACTAGAAGAGGGCTAACGTCCCTCTCTTCAAAAAGGGCAGAAAGGAGGAACCTGAGAACTATAGATCAATCACTCTGCCATCCATCACAGAAAATTCTGGAGCAGATTATAAAGAGGTCACTCTGCAAGCACCTTGAAAACAATGCAGTAATGACTAGAATCCCACACAGATTTGTCAAGAACAAATCCTGCCAGATTAATTTTATCTCATTTTTATTGGGTAGCCTCCTTGGTAGACAGTGGGAATGCTGTAGAAGTAATACATCTTGACTTCAGTAAAGCCTTTGACAAAGTACCCCATGATATTCTGGTTAGCAAGCTAACTAGATGTGGACTGGATAAAAGACCTGTCAGATACCTGGTTACAGAATTGTACTCAGAGAGTGTTTATTAATTGCTCTTTCTCAAACTGGGAGAAGGAAACAAGTGGGGTATCGTAAGGCTCAGTCCTGGGTCTGGTGATTTTCAACGTTTTTATTAATGACAGATGAGATGGTGCAGGGAAAACGAAAGAATTCAGCATATTTAGCCTTCAGCATATTTAGCCTTCAGAAAAGAAGACTGAGGGGAGATCTGATAGCTATTTTCAAACACTTGAGAAAATGTCATACAGAGGAGGGGCAGGATCTGTTCTCAGTCATCCCAGAGTGCAGGACACGTAATACAGTGGTGCCCCACATAGCAATGTAATACAGTGGTGCCCCACATAGCGACGTTAATCCGCTAATCGGATTCATCGCTATGCGGGGGGGACCCATAGGAACGCATTAAACTCCATTTAATGCGCTCCTATGGGGGTGAAAACTCACTGCTATGCGAAGATTCCCCCATCTGGCCGCCATTTTCGCCGCCCGGTAACCGAGGGCAGGGCGCGAAAATGGAGCGGGCGGCCATTTTTTTCTTCCAGTGGCCATTTTGGAAACACTGATCAGCTGTTTTTAGAACATCGCAATGCAAAGATCAGTAAGCGAAACGCTTACCGATCATCGCAATGCGATGTTTTGCCATTCAAAAGTCGCAATGCCATCGCATTAGCGATGGCAAAAGTATCACTATGCGGATTCTTCGTTAAACGGTGCACTCGTTAAGCGAGGCACCACTGTAATGGGTTCATGTTACAGGAAGCCAGATTTTGGTTGAATATCAGAAAACGCTTGCTAACTGTTATAGCAGTACAACAATGGAACCAGTTACCTCAGGAGATGGTGGATACTCGAACACTGGAGACATTTAAGAGAAAATTGGACAACCATTTGTCATGTATACTTCGATTTAGTTTCCTGCATTGATCGAGGGGTTGGATTCAATGGCCTTATAGGTCCCTTCCAACTCCACTATTCTAGAATAACAATTTAAAATGTTTTTACCACAGGGATCCATCAGAGTGTGAGGTTCAGAGACAGTGGATTAAACAATTTGTCTACTCACTTACTGGTAGAAGAACCAAGTCTTGGTAGGCATGATTGTCCTTTAAAATCTGAAATGGGAAATTTCCAAGGGAAGGAGTCAAATCCAGAGCACACAATTATTCACAATCCTGGTATATGTTTTACTTACTTAATATCCAAACTTTCTTTTGAGCTTGGAATGTTAAGCTTGAAAATTAGATCATTAGTGTTAACCATTAGAAGTTCTGAAATTAATTCATTAACATTAAACTCTGGAAATCTTTACCTTGTTGAACCAGCAGTATTATTCCAATGGCTAAATTGTTATTTATAAAATAAACAGTAGGATTTACAGAATTCATTCTTAATACCGAATGACACGATTGTCACTGGCTCCTTCAAAGGTGCTCTTTCTATCTTTTAGAAATTGCTGTCCCCAGTCTAGCATTTTTCTTTAATCCGATCACAGATTCTCATTGCAAGTATAAAGTGAAGGCTAACAACCAATAGGCACTAATAAGTCTAAAACTGTGAGAATGGGAGGGGCTGTTTGTCCTAGCCGCTATTAGAGGGTATAAAAAAGAAAACAAACCACAACAACCTACGCTCTATCCACAGTGCTGGCTGTACAGAAGATTTACAGACTCAAAAACTCCTTATCCACTTTCACAGAGACTT